GTGTCTGAGCCCACCCAGACCGATCCAGCTGTGACTCCACACTGACCACCTCTGTGTTTTCACAACTCACTTCATTTACCAGGCACGGAGGGAAACAGTTCTGAAAGGGCCCGCTGGCCCAAACAGCTCTTTGGGTGTCTCACAACGCTGGAAATCGAATGTTTCCAATTAAAATGTTACAGAGATAAAATGTAAACACTGCAATCTGGTTTAGCTTTACCTGATTTTTGAGATCTGATTTGGCAGAGCAAACCAAAATAACTTTCTAGGCTGGCGTCAATATCATCGAGCTGGCTTGCTGTACACAAAGCAGGAGTTCCTGCCAGTTTTATGGGGTAATAAAGAGAAGATTATTCCAAGAAAATATGCGTCCCCCACGCTGCTGGAAGATCACTGAGCACTCTGCAGTGACCTTTTGTAACCACCTTCAGACTGCCCACTCGGGTGACTGTCGTGGTGCAGCTGTACAGCATGCAGCTCTCCTCACATGTGGGGGTAAAAGGGGCAGCAAAAGGTTTGGGGTTTTTAGTTCCTGAAAGATAAAATGAGTGTTTGAGAGCCAGGTTCCTTTCTCTCAGAGAGGTGCTGGTGATTGAGGGGAAAATCCCATGCACATTCAGGTTGCTTGGAAAATGCTGGTGCTGCACTATTAAAGAGAGGTGATAACTCAGTGTCAGGCCACCACAGTATTGCAACAGCAGGATGCCAAGCTTGCCTCTGCCTGGCTTTCCCTGCGTCCCCTGAACAGCTCTTGGTGTAAATCAGGTAGAGAGGAGTGTCTGTCCCCCCACAATGTCCTGGGATGCTGCATCCTGGAAACCTCCAGGCTCATGTTTATATTCTTCAGTGCTCGTAATCCCATTTAAGGGTGTTGGTGTACACAGAGCAGGACTGGTGCAGAACAGAGCCCTGGGGATATCACCTGCCTGTGAAGCAGGGTTTGGGTGGGACAGGGATAAGAGCTGCCTGTGAGCCAGTTTGGGTAGGACAGGGATAACACCTGCCTGTGAGCCAGTTTGGGTAGGACAGGGATAACAGCTGCTTGTGAGCCAGTTTGGGTAGGACAGGGATAACAGCTGCCTGTGAGCCAGAGCTGGTGTGGGACAGGGGACAGGGACAACAGCTGCCTGTGAGCCAGTTTGGGTGGGACATTGCCAGTCCCACGCCAAGGACAGCGGCTCCGGGCGCTGCTGTGTCTCTCCTGCCCCAGAGGCTGACACCCCTGCAGAGAAGAGATTCACCTGCTCGTGGCTGTTCCCGCAGCACCTCACACACCTGGGCTCACCTGGGCCCGAGTGACCCCGTTATGCCCCCAGACCTGAGGGCCCTGCCCTGCTCTGGGCAGAAGCACAAAGGGACCAACATGCGGCGAGTCCCTGTCCTGGTCCGGGTGTGGCGGGGGCGCCATTTTCATAATTCCTATGAAGAACACGCACTGCATTTGGCTCATAATTTCAGTTTATTATCAAAATGTTTTGATCAGATGACAAACTCGGCTAAAAGGACATAGGTTTTTTAAATAGACCTATTGTAGCAGTCATCTGAGGTATCTGGTTCTTGGTTTGCAAATTTCTTTGCTTTGATAAACAAAGCAGTAAGTTCGTTTGCAATCTGCATGAGGATGTTTAATACATATCATTGCAGATTTAAAGCCTTTTACCCTCTTGCTTAAAGCTCCTTCAGACTCTTGCAATCAGCTGTGCAGCTTTGCTGATGTGAGGGCTGACACTGATCAGAACACGTACAAGTGACGTGCAGGATCAGAGCCTGAGCACTGACAGTCAGCCTGGAAACTGCCCTGTTTGTGCCCTCCATTGGAGAACTCAGTTTTGTAGGCTTTGTCTTATTGCCCGATACCATGCTTTAGTCCAATTTCCCAGTTCTATGCAGCCACTGATAAAATATGTTACAATACTTCAAGTCAAAAGTGTAGCTCAAGATTTAAATATAAAAACTATGATTTATACATTACTAGAAACTTTAAAAAAGAGCGACTTTAGAGAAAGCAAGATAAAGCTTAGAAAATGGTGAAAGGGTCTTTGATCACAATCTTACAGATTATAGGTACAGAATTTAATAAATTACCTACGATTCCATTTGGGTGGGAAAGCTGTAAATTAACTGTTGTAAATAGAGACTTCAGGTAATACACGCTGGAGTAATTAGTGAGAAGTTACTTAAGTACAGCAGGTCTTTGGACTCCTCTTGTATAAATGGTTTCAAGTAAAAATGAAAACATTTGGTAGAACAGATTTCCTGCAACAGCAGAGGGTACAGAGTCTGACACTGGGATATAAACTGCTGTCTCTCTGTCGTGGTATGACGGCTAAAATGTGTGTTTCTGAGTGTTTCCCTCCTGCCCTGATCAGAAGCCTGTGCTCAGCGGCCCGTGGGAGATCGTGGGCTGTATTTTGCCATTTCCAATGACGGTCTGTGGGCTGTGGGCAGCGTTACAGCTGCAGGTGGGGTGAGCTGTGCGCTGCCAGGTGAGTTGGGCCTGCGGGCTCTGGGGAGCAGCAGCCAGCGCTGCCTTCCCTGCTGCCAGGGTGGTGATTTGGGGTTTGCACGTTTGCCAAGGGTCACAGCTGTGTCTCCAGCACATTCCACTCTGCTCCCTTCCCTCCTCCCCCTCTCGAATCAGCTGGAAAGGTCTCTTTTCCTGGAAAGCTCCTTGAGGTGCGAGGCCTGCAGTCCGTCACCAGACGCGGCACTTCTCGGCAGGGTCCATGTTGTCTCTCGTGGTGCAAGAAAAGGCTTCTGAAAACTCTGGCGAGTTCTGCAGCGACCCCAGGACCCTTTAAAAGAAAGCAATAGGTTGTCATTGCTGCTGGCCTGGGTTTGAAACAAACAACACGACCCATATTTTGTAATTTGTTTTTGTTGTGTCACCTCAGCTAGCATGGGGAACGCCCTGCCGCTGAGCTCTGCCTTGCTTCATCTCACCTCAAGGGCTGGCTGTGCTTTCTCCTGCAGTTTGTCTTGCCCCTGTTGCAACCCCAGAAACACAGGGCCTGTCCCCTGCTCGTGGCTGGCTCTCACAGCCAGTTCTTGCCCCCAAACAGATTTCTCACTTGTCAGTGGTTTCCACCGAGGGCTTTTCCAGATCCGTTTTGCTGACAAGTGTCTTGGTGAAGGGAAAACAAAAACCCGAGGTCAAGGGCTGTGGTGGTGACTCCTCACTGAATGTTCATTTACATTTTTACACCAACCAGGTTTTAACTGAGATCATGCTGCTCCTCTGGGCGTTCTGCACAGATTTTCCAGTGAATGAGTTTTCTGGCAAAAATCTCATACAAACAATGGCTTTCAACTCAACATGGGGAGTGAGTATGAGGCTGTTCCAGCTAGGGCTGATTTTACATGTGTAATTGTGAACACGTGTGAATAGATCTGCTAAGAGTCACTTGTTCCTTCAGGATTAGGATACAGCAGCACATACCTATGCAGGGAAACAGGTCAAACACAGATACTGATGGATGTTGATTGTGCCCCAGAAGTTCTTTAAAGAACTGTTTCTTTGAGTAATTCATGATTATTCTGAGAATTATGTTCATCCTTAGAACCAGGGTGTGCCCACAGAAGCTGAGGTGAAGTTCAGCAGGGACACCTGCAATACTTGAATTGTTCTAGAAGGCCAAAAATGACTCCCTGCTCTTGGGAGCCAGCAGTGGAACAGGACATGGCACAGAAAAAGGATTATCAGGAACCTCATGAATTTTGGTGATCTTCACTGTTCCAGTGAACAAGGACTGCTAAAATGGGATGCACTGCAATTAACAATTTCCATGAGGAGCTGCCTGTTCTACTTGCAAGGAGAAGCAGCCCCCAGCCAGTGTAGCAGGTATTGAAAAGGCTCATTGCAATCCCCAGGTAATAATCAAAAGAGGCACCTGGGGAGCCTTTGTGACACTTGTGTAGTATGTCATTAGGTGTTAATTTTGTGGGTATGTCTCATGAAATGTTTTTGTT